AGTTTAGCATTAATAGATCAAATTCTCATGCTATATAGATAGCTGTAAATTTTAGTGGATACACGGATATGCAATGAGTTAGTTATGTGAGAACGAGGCATTGCAGTTATAGTTTAGCATTAATAGATCAAATTCTCATACTATATAGGTAGCTCTATATTTTAGTGGATATGCAGTCAACCAGTGAATTGTATCCGCTGACCATTTTTGATTGCTTAACTATATAATATTGACTGCGTATCCATGTATCTGCATATCGGGGGGGTCATGGGGACTTGCGGTGTTACGGAGTTGGGCTATTTTTAGTGCGGTGATACGGTGACTAAGGCTCCAAATTTGCGGTGTTGCGGTGACTGAAAAAGGCGCGGTGTGCGGTGATTGTGCGTTTTACCTTACGGTGATACGATATTATTTCCAGGGATGCCGGAACCACAGGTGCTGTGGATGCAAGTGCACCCCATGCCTTTTGTATTTATAACTTTTTAGGTGCAGTGTGGGTGCAGACTATGGGTGCAACGGGTGCACAAAAGATTTAAAACGAATATGTTTAAATAATTTCACACAAACAGCAGCGGCGTAACGAAGGAAGATGAAGCCCTTAGGCATATTTGGTGTGGGGGCCCTGTTGACTGTTGTCATTGTTTGACCATAACAATAACGGTCTCCAACACATGTAACAACTAATAAGAATAACTTTTGTTTTATTTGGGATGGAATAAAAAAACCAGTTACCGTCTTCGATGGAGGTTTTATTATTTAACATTACTAATTTTCATTTCCACATTGACTCTTAACCTGCATTTTTACGTAGGTTTTCTATTTTGGGGGAGATAGGACTTGGCCGACGAGGGCCCCTAACTGGCTGCGGCTGCAGCCCTCCCAATAATTTGCTAATAATAATTCTTTTGTCAAAATCATACAGACCTTTATCATCTAAATAATATAGTTTTAAAATACCGACAATTGATAAATTTTTAGCGGCTACATTATCCATGACAAACTGCAAAGAATAATATTACCCATATTTCCTCCAATATATACTTAATTAAATCCGCATTCGCCCATTTAGTCAGTACCATTAAATTGTAAGCAAATTGTAAATTTCGACATACTAAAACGCTGCTTTCTGACCATCAGAATTCTGTCAAAACCTCCCCCAAAGTCCATGAAATGGCATTTCAGACACTCTAAATTTAAAAATTTCCTGGGTCCTTCGGCCCACGTTTTCAGCCCCCAAATCAAAAAGAGCTTCCCACAGCAGTGCATGCTACCCTAATATGTCTGTGCCTAAAATATGCGTATTTTTGTTTGTAAATTGCGTCTTCATCTTCATTTTCCGGATAGCAAACACCTTTCTGGTTTCGCATGCCATAAAATATTCGGAATTTTTTTAATTTCGTCACTCAGAAATTTTTGGCATACACCCCCACCCCTCCCCAACTATACATACTAGCTACGGCCCTGTTCATAACTTATATAGTGAAGAAGCACAAAAAACTTTCTTCAGTAGAAGAGATAGCGAAACTGTTCTGCTAATTCTGTGTGCCTTATTTTAATGTTTGAAATTAATAAAAGGTTGTTTTATTGCTTGTGTTTGATTTTAAATTAGGTTATAAGTAGGCAAGTGCCATTTCGTTTTTGGTTCTGCCCTTTTTTAAAAAATATGCCTTTCTGATAGCAAAACGCACCCCTCGCCCTCAGCAATTTCCGGCATCCCTGAGTATTTCTGTATAGTTTTGGTCAGTTTTGCAGTTAAATCCACATTTTTTTTTCAGTTTTTTTTTAAATCCACATAAGTTTTTTGGCCTAACGACGACCTATGATCTAATAACAGAAATTTATAAACCTTATGGAGTTATGGGACGCGGCAATGACATGTTTTTAACCGTATTTTTTCCATGCGGTATTTACAATTTTTTTTTGCGGTGATGCGGTGTCCTCAAACGCATTTGTACGGTGTTGCGGAACCCCCAATGACCCCCCCCCCATATCCACTAAAATATATAGCTACCTGTAACATGAGAATTTGTATTATACTAACAAATTCTGACTGCGTATAACTAGTGGACGGGTATTCTGCAATTTAGCTGACTTAGGTTGACAAAAGTTTCTGTGTGCTCATTTTTCTTATTATTTTATATTATTAGATTTATATATTTCTATTAGTTTTTAGACTTTACTGCTCAGTCATTTATATAAGTGTTTTTAAGTCAATATTGTTTAATAATCTTTAAATCTTGCTTTTTTAAAGTATTTGTTTATGTTACTACATGTTTCAGTCAAATAGTGTAGGTTTTCATTTAGTTTTATCCTTAAAATATTGAGTAGTTTGTTTGGGGTAAATACTAATAGTATTTACTCAATATTTTAAGTCTAAAATTAAATGAAAACCTACACTATTTGACCGAAACATGTAGTAACATGTTCCTTATGTTACTAATATTTGTGAGTTTTAGTTGAGCATTGGAATTATTATAGTTACTTCAAAGATGTTATTTGCACTTCACTTGGTTGAACCAAGTGAATTAGTGTAAATAACATCTTTCAAGTTACCTTAGTTATCAGAACCCGCATATATTCGATTACCTAATATACAGGTATTTCAATCAAAGTTGTCCACGAGCAAAGCGGAAAAGTCGAATTTGAGCGCAAATGGCTGCTGGGAATCGTTAACAAATTAATTCTTCAAAGCGATTCCCAGTAGCCTTTCACACTCGTATTCAACTTTTGCGCTTTGCTTGTAGACAACCTTAATTGAAATAGCTGTATACATGAACTTGCAGTTACAGCTCAGCAATTGGCTTCTGTAACTCGGCAAGTTAGATTGCTGCACTGGAATCTCAGGGTTGTAGGTTCGATTCCTGCAATCGTTCCTTGTTAGTCCTGGAAAATAGTGCATATATAATATATACTCACTTGGATTATCCACCAAACCCAATTAGTAGTTACATGCCATTTGTGTTAGCCGCTTAATGGTTTCTTGTTAAACTTTAGATTTGAATTACTGATTTTATCATGTATTATCATTGTAACTTAGTTTTTATTGCATACACGTATATCTAAACAGTAAATGTGTATTTAAATACAGCATTTTGTTGGTATAATAAATCTTTCAATTTATTAGATTATTTGTCGAAAAATCGACTACAATAACAACAAAAACAACCTCAAAACTTGCAAAAAACATTTGCAGTACGTTCGTTCTAAAATCATACGATTCTGTTTCTATGGCAAATCGTCTCCTGATTGGCGGGCATATAATGCCCAAACAACATAAATTAATATAAATTAAAATGTTTTATACACTACCTGGGGTTGATTATTTAATGCTGTGCTGAGTGGTTATATTACTACCTTAAAAAATAAGCAGAAACTCGACGTTTCGAGCGAAGGCTCTTCGCTAATCAATGTTTATCAACAGTTCCTTGACTCTGGCTAGTTTCCAGAAAACTCGTTTTGTAGAATCCAACTTCACCCAAAATGTCTCCTACAGATATATTTGCTCGATTCGACTTCGATTTGGACTTACACATAGCGTTTTCTCGTAAACTAAGCAAATACTCTTTTTTCCATTGATCGGTAAATTGCTGAAGGACCTTTCTTTGGTGCTTTGCTCTTTTTGTCAGGAATTTACTGGTACTCATAATCTCGTAATGTTCAATGTTTGGCATCAGGGTAATTTGTCAACCGTAAATCAATTGAGATGGTGTCAGTGGATAAGATAAAAATTCTTCGTCATCATAGACATATGTAATTGGCCGACCGTTTATTACAGCGTGATCGACCAGCAATCTTTTTTAGACATTGCTTTATTATCTTTATCAATCTCTCCCAGAAACCTCCCCACCATGAGGCCCTTTCCACGATGAATGTCCAAGTAATGCGGTTATTGGCCAAACGACTCAACACATCCTGTGAACGTGATAATGCTTGTATTTCTTTCGATGCTGATCGAAATGTTTTAGCATTGTCCAATATAAGCATAGATGGCAATCTTCGACAACTAGCAAAACGGCGAAGTGCCATCAGAAATTATTTAACACTTAGTCCCTGTGTCAACTTCAAGTGGACTGCCCGGGTTGATGCACATGTAAACAAACAAACGAATACTTTGTTAGTTTCTTGACATTGTGCTGAGACTTTCTTTTTCTCACTACGAACATACAAAGGTCGTGCATAATCTAAGCTGGTAAATGTAAAGGGCGGTTCAATTGATACTCTTCCCATTGGCAAATCGGGCGCAGATGGAAGTTTGAATGCAATTCCTTCATGATTTTGACAAATTATGTATTTCCTCAAATTCCTTTTAATGGCTTCTTGACTGCGCAATACCCAAAATCGTTCTCGCAGAGTAACCAGTGTCTGGTGAATACCTGAATGCATGATTTTCTTGTGCACATCTTGGATTATCGGATGTTTTGAAGGAAAACCAGGTTCTTTGAGGACTCAGGAATTGTGGCATTGTTAATTCTCCCTTTACATCGCAATATGTGTTGATCATCTAGAACCAGACCGAATTGGTTAACATAAGCTGGTCGACAACAATCACAGCTGTTTTCGATAAAATCTAATTCACTTATGAAAGATGACATTTCGACAGTTCGTATCCACATGGACTCGGTCTGGCTAATCTCTGTTGCTGTAAGTGCTTTCACTTGTGCAGTATTCGATCGTTCCTTTCGGCGTTTCTTCTTTAGGATATTGTTAAATCGTAATACGTAGGCTGTAACCTGCAATAATCATGTCAACGTGCTGTAAGAATTACAGTCATTGATCTTGTCTAGGCAGGTTGTTGATGCTCGGTGGTTATCAGTAGTTGCAAATGAATGCGTAACAGTGTGAGGATTCTTTACAATTTCTTTAATTGCTTCCTCTGGAACAGTTTTGCTTGTTGTTTTACATGATGAAGTGATCAAATCATTGACTTCCTGAAAGACACCAAGCATCAACTGATGATTTAGAAGTGATCATCAATAGATTTCCTAATGTCATCAATTCAGATGATCCTGAGAGCTGAATTTCTTGATTATCAAGCTGCACCTAACACAGAACTTCCAGCTTACTTTGATGAGGATGACAAACCAATTCGCATCGCATCGATCAGGTTTGTCATAAGATTTCATTGCTCAATGATGCCTTTCAGGTCCATCACACTTCAAGCATCTTGCTAAGCTGGCTAAAGTCCTGATTCCCCATAGTAATGCCTACTGTGAGTGTTTTTAGCACCATCAGGAAAATTTGTACAACTAGTAGGCACAACCTAGGAAAAAGGATGCTTCTAAAGGCTATGTCTCAACTAGTGCATACAAAGACACCACATCAATCAGAAATAACCTACTTGGCATTTTAATTACAAAAATAAACATATTTGGAAGATGTAAAATTCAATGCTATGAATGGGAATCACCAAAACAAGTCATTAGCCATGCTAAAAGCTGTAACATACACCAATTTGAAAGCTTGAAGAGATGCTGCCAATGAATAGAGTAAAGAGAAACTTTGGAAGAGGTTTCAGGACTTTTTATGAGAAAAAGTAACCCAGTGTTTACTGAACATATACAAGTGTTCTTTGTAGGAATAGGTTTGTTTATGCAAATTCAGTCATCTGTGACAAGGATCTTTTCAGTTAAGATGGCTCAAATATGTTACCTGGGCAAATTACATATTTTCATGAGAAAACTGATTGAAAACTTATTTCAATGCTCCAATACCATATCAAATCAGTCAAATTTGCTGAAAACATCTCTACATGTTTGAGACTTACATTCGCGACATTTTCTATGTACTGGTTAAGCCAATAATTAGTTACATGGTGTTTGTTAGTTGATAAAAGATTTATTCTTGAATTGCAGTTTTAAACTGATGTCATCATGTTTTCTCACTGTAACTTGGTATTTACTGTGCATATATTAAGTGTTCTTTATAGGAATATGCTTCTTTAGGCTTTCATTATTGAGTAAATCCATTTACCGAGTCACATCTGAGTCCGAGTCAGTCCCAAGCCCGAGTCAAATGCCCGAGTCGCGTAAAAAAAGACGGAAGTGAAAGTCTGGTGAGTCATCAAAGGCAAATGAATCTGGAAATGCTCCCTCAACTTCAACTTCAGCACTGAAACTGTACTATAAGAACGCACTATCGAACACATATAACTGTGACGATCCTCAGACTTGGAAATCTGTCTGTGTTAAATGTAAAAGGGCTAGATCCCTTAATGGTGTTTTAAACTGTTGTTAGTTGTCAGTTTAACCGTTTTGTAATTGTGTTGTTCTACTTTGTCTGTTTCGTTAATCAATTATTTGAACGTAATTTTTTATGTAAATATTAAGGGATCGGCGTAATTGGGGGAACCTCTGTGGCGAACTCCCTGGCACTACATTGTTGTATTTTTAGGTAGTTGCCAAATCTTATTAAAACATTAAAAATTGATGGCTGTGGCAAGAAATCCAAGGAGATCCAAGATATATCTACATCCAAGGAGAGTGTGTGCATCAAAAAGATGCAAATGGTCCTGGGTAGAAAACGTTGCACATTGCCTGCCTTTGCACACCAATATCGAAAATAAAAAGATCACAATGGGAGATGTGAGAATTATTGCCAGCAACCATCCAATTCTCAATGATATTTCTCCAAGTATAATCTGTGACAAAGTCTGATCTTTGTTTAGTGAAGACAAGTCGGCGATCTCGTTAAAAGAACTTCCCAATGAGACTTTGCAGCAACATCTTACCGGAATTGGAGGAATAAGGGATACAGAAGGAGTTCAAACAGCTGAAAGAAAAAGCATTGATGCAGATGTTGATGTAGATGGCAGCGGTAGTTTATATTCGCCAAGTGTGGTAGTGTCTACTAATGTGTGCAAAAAAAGTGGCTCAAAGTTGTTTACTGATGAAGAAAATGAGTGCTTTAAAAACACTTTTAAAAGTTTGATGGAGACCAATCAATCGATCTCACAGAAATGTGTGCGGCAAAAGATGGAAGCAAAATATTATGTCCCCTATTGAAGAAGTATACTTTGGTGCAACTGTCTGACAAAGTTAGAACTGAACGAACATAAAAACCACCCACTGAAAAATCGGAAATATGACTGATTTTCTCCTAGCTCTAAAACAAGTGGATTTCAATAAGGGGGTCCAATACTCAAAATTTTTTTTTGTGTGTTTTAATGCTATGATGTTCATCTTTGGTCAGTTTTTAGGGCATGGTACCACTAACATAAAAAAATGTTTTTCAAAGTTACTGTTGCCATGGTTACCATGTTAATTACCCCCCGGTGGTGAAAAATCAACATATTTGTAAACATGATATCTCAAGAAATATGAATGATAAAAACCTAAAATAACTTTTATTTAATAGTATACCACATACTCTTGAGGATGAACTAGAACTATGGTGATTGAAGCAAAAATAAATTTTTTGCAGACAAAATATTGAAAATACATATTATCGGCATGATACTGACTATCACAACTTTAATGCTATTGCATATACTTTTATGATTCTAGTTCATCCCCAAGAGAATGCAATACACAAGCTACACTGAAAGTTTGAAGTCAATAGCTTAAATACTTTTTGAGATATTGCGCATGCAATAACGGCCATTGGTGGATTTCGGCAATTTGAGAAAAACTGCTTTAAAGTTGAACATATTGATTTTCAGAACAATATTGACCTACAATTGATTAATAAACCTTATGAATGGACCAGTTTAGTGTTAAAAGGTCCCTGCCTCATAGGTATTGACTTCTGTTTCCTGATTTTTATCTTCCCTCTTCTTTTTCTGGCCATACACCACCTTCCTCCTCTTTTTGACATCCGGCTTAGCTCGATGATCTTCCTTCTTTACATGCTTTTTATCAGCTTTGCAGACAACCTCTTCAAAGTAGTAGCCAAGAACTAGCCCATCTTGTTGTAAGACATCAACAGAAGCCCTTGAACCCATGTTGAAATGAGCAACAGCATCATACACACCCAACTGCAGAACATTGCCACCCACAAAAATTCTCTTCGGAAGCCTGTTCCAAATCATGCCGTTCAATGATTCGTTTTGGTTTGAGTTTTCCCATCCAAACATTTGACCAACAAATCATTACTACTTAGTCTATCATAAATGGGCCTAATCTGAGCAATGATGTTGTCTGGAAGACCATGTCCACACTTGTATAAGTCAGTATTATTTGCCTTGTCTTGTTTAAAGCGGCACCAGCTGTCCGAACCATCAAGACACCAAGTATGTAAATTTCGCTTCTTTGATGAGACACAATGGATAATGCTGGCATAAATTGCAGCCTTCATTCCCTCCAAATTTCCACAATTACTTCTAATGGCAATGCCATAATAGTTTTGAAGTTTGTCAATCAAGGTGTCCGTCAATGGATAAGGTTGTGACACACCCATGGAGGGATGAATATCCTCGTCTTTGCCAGGTATCATCACGAGACACCACATTGGGTTATTTGACCAGGATTTTCACCATGAACCTCAACAGCTGCATCATTCATAAACTTGGCGGCAACAGAGTTAGCAGCTTTTGATAGGGCTACATATTACAATCTCGGTATGCTGGTGATGGCATGTTCATGTGAGTACAGAACCTTTTCATGGAGGCATGTCCTTTACCAATGGATTGTGCATGGCATAAACAAGCCTTTTATTCAAAGGATTTCTTTACCTTCTTTGAAGAATAAAACGTAAAAACCCAACCACATTCCTCGCATCGCAAACGGAGATGAGATGCACAACCCTTACGTTCGAATTTTTTATCTTCAAGCACGAGGGATGAGGATTTACCACATCCTTTGCAAACTACTTGCTGAAAAACTTCACTGAGAATTTCTATATCAATGAAACGATAGCCTGTTGCATGTAGCGATTCTTTAGTGGCATTTGGCGATTCTATAACGTTGATTTTTCGCGATGAAGCTGAAACACTTGCACTGGAAGTTGATTGAGCATCGGCGTCATATTTACTGTTAGCACAATTTTGGTGGGTCCATTTGTACACGATTTCTTTGCATTTTTAACAAATCTATTTCCACTAAATCGCCGTTTATTTTGCCCTTGAATTCTCTCTTGCCATAATAACAGTGAAACAATTGCAGATTATTCGGTAATAAGCAAAAATTTGGTGTAATAAATCACAAATAAAGACAGAGAAAAACGCTTGTGATATTTTTGAAAATGATAAAGAAGCCCACGATGAGAAGAGAAGGTTGTCAAGCGGTAAGGGAAGGCTATAGTGCAGCTAATACTTCATGTTAGTAGCCTAAAATTGTACATCACTATTTTATAAACAATTTTTACCTCGATTACAAACAGCAAACTTTGGTTGCTAAGCGCGTTGCTATGGCGGAAATATTCAAAGCCCTTAGGTATTTTCTCATTTTTCCCTAACTTAGTATGGTTTTTTTTACAATAAAAGTCTCAGTATTGTTTGATAAGGCTTCAAAGAACCTAATTTTGAGTTTTTTGAAAATTCATAAATTTCACCCATAAAGTCAAAATTTTAGTATTGGACCCCCTTATTAAAACCTTAGTTTTTGTGCAGTTCATAGATTTGGCATAACTGAATATCTGGACGCATTATTGTTCAAAATGCGCCTCAGAATTCTTCAGAACCAGCTATAAACTTACAACATGTAAACTGGTTGCTTGTGTGATGTTACTCTGAGTGTATACCACACCCGGCAGGCTTGAAAACTATGCCTGGCCACGATGGGATTCGAACCTATGACCTTTGGAATACTAGCCCAATGCTCTGCCAACTGAGCTACGTGGTCAGGACGGTTCGAGTATGTGATATTTCGGAACTGAGTCTAGTTTCTTCGATATCAGTATTATCTAATAATCATGAAATTTGCTGTGTTGGTGTAATGTACTCAGATGAATAAGATGCTTGTGTGATGTTACTCTGAGTGTATATCCACACCAAGCAGGCTTGAAAAATATGCTTGGCCACGGTGGGATTCGAACCTACGACCTTTGGAATACTAGCCCAATGCTTTGCCAACTGAGCTACGTGGTCAGGACGGTTCGAGTATGCGATATTTCGGAATTGAGTCTAGTTCCTTCGATATCAGTATAATCTAATAATCATGAAATTTGCTGTGTTAGTGTAATGTACTCAGGTGAATAAGATGCTTGTGTGATGTTACTCAACGGTGGGCAAAAAAGACAGCAAATTTGGCCATGTACATAACTTTCTGTCGTTAGTTTGGAATATCACAAAACTTCCTCACAGGATAGAACTTAACATTCCTAAAAATCGTATGTTTTTTGTTTTTCGATTTTGTTACATTTTGGCGGGAAAATGACGTGCCAACTTTGGCGCCAAAAAATGAAACACAAGCTAAGAACATGCTAGTAACTTTTTTGAAGAGATTGTCCTATAAGGATCTCAAAACTGTAAAAACATTAAAAATACAACAAGGCAGTGTGAAGATATGGCAATTCAAAGTTCGAAAAAAATCTATTTTTAGTAACAAAATGGCTGATTTTTCAGTAAAAATAGAACTTTGAATCGCCATATCTTCGCACTGCCTTGTTGTATTTTTAATATTTTTACAGTTTTGAGATCCTTATAGGACAATCTTTTCAAAAAAGTTACTAGCATGTTCTTAGCTTGTGTTTAATTTTTTGGCGCCAAAGTTGGCACGTCATTTTCCCGCCAAAATGCAACAAAATCGGAAAAAAACCCCACGATTTTTAGGAATGTTAAGTTCTATCCTGTGAGGGAGTTTCGTGATATTCCAAACTAACAACAGAATGTTATATGTATGTGGCCAAATTTGCTGTCTTTTTTGCCCACCGTGCTCTGAGTGTATATCCACACCGGGCAGACTTGAAAAATATGCCTGGCCACGGTGGGATTCGAACCTACGACCTTTGGAATACTAGCCCAATGCTCTGCCAACTGATCTACGCGTTCAGGACGGTTCGAGTATGCGATATTTCGGAACTGAGTCTAGTTCCTTCGATATCAGTATAATCTAATAATCATGAAATTTGCTGTGTTGGTGTAATGTACTCAGGTGAATAAGATGCTTGTGTGATGTTACTCGGAGTGTATATCCACACCGGGCAGGCTTGAAAAATATGCCTGGCCACGGTGGGATTCGAACCTACAACCTTTGGAATACTAGCCCAATGCTCTGCCAACTGAGCTACGCGCAGGGCCGTCCAGAGGTTGGCAGGGGCCCAGGGCAAAATTTTTTTTAGGGGCCCCTATCTAAAAAAATTTTCCCCGAAAATTTTTTTTCCGGATAACAACCTCCCCCCCCCCACCCCAAAAAATTTTCGGTCAGTGTACCATTTTAGGGGTAAAAATTTTTTTCCACAGTACAAAATTTTGCCGGACAAGTACGTTGCAATTGCTTTCGAGGGACTTTATCTCATTTTTTTATGCCAAAATTCGGTACTTAGCCCAAGAAAACAGATATCTTGTCCTTTGCGCGGAAATATTTAACACACAAAAAAGGTGGGGCCCTACAAAAATTTTTCAGGGGCCCCCAGCAACTCGGGGCCCGGGGCAATTTGCCCCCTTTGCCCCCCCCCCCTCTGGGCGGCCCTGGCTGCGCGGTCAGGACAGTTCGAGTAAGTGATATTTCGGAACTGAGTCTAGTTCCTTCAATATCAGTATAATCTACTAATCATGATGTTTGCTGTGTTGGTGTAATGTAATGATCGAACCGACCTGACCGCGTAGCTCAGTTGGCAGAGCATTGCGCTAGTTTTCCAAAGGTCGTAGGTTTGAATCCCACCGTGGCCAGGCGTATTTTGCAAGCCTGCCCGGTGTGGATATACACTCAGAGTAACATCACACAAACATCTTATTCACCTGATTACATTACACCAACACAGCAAATTTCATGTAAACTGGTTTTCGACAAATCGCAAAAATAGGACTACTTCAAGAGCAAAAAGTGTGGCACCTATCTGAAACGCCTGAATTATATAAATGGAACAATGAATAACATGGAACTCAAAACAAGAATCAAATTTTTCTGCATGCAACGTTAGGGAAAATAACAGTCACCTACAAATCACAAAATTTTCAAAATGCAGTGCCAACCAATAGAGCATGGCCGTCACAAAGTACTATGTAATTCGATTACTAAATCTCTTAGCTAGCCATAACGGCCCATAAGTTGAGAGTTCTGATCTTTGTGTGACATTTTAAATCCAAGATAATGTCACATAAACTGAAATTTTATCCACTGGTGTGAAGTTTGTAAATAACTATTCAATGAAACTCATAAAATTATGCAGTAAAATTCTGTATCCATTGAACATGGTATCACTCACATGTATTTTGTTGGTCACAACAAGCTTGCTTGCTTGATTCCGATGGAAAATGAAGTCAAAGACATCAGGTAACCACAATAAATTTATCTAAAGTCCTAAACACATATCAATTACAAAATATTTGCATCAAATGGCTTGGAATATGGAAAGAGGAAGTAAAGTTAACGATAATGTTTTGCTTACTTTTGTGATTCGTTCCCAGTCACCAGGTGAATAATCTGCAAACGAGGTGGAAATGGGAAAAAAGAATTATTGGAAACATTGTAATAAAATTCCATAGCTAGAGCTGTAATAGAAGACCTAAGATATTTAGCTGCGATGAATTTTGTAGGTTTCCTAATAACTCACACTTTTTTTTCACTTTCACTTCCGAGAAATTTGTGAGTAAATTCTTGATCAACAAACTGAGAAGAGTTTCCACTTGTTTGTGGCAGTATGATTCGAAAAGTAAATTGTTATGATCCATTGGTCCATGAAGACGTTGCCAGAGATGTGGACGTGACCGAGGTCAAAGTTGCATTGAGATGCTACATCAACTGAAGCAAACTTTCCTGCCAATCTTTTCTCACTTTATCATAAAAGCTTTACTTGTAGCTTGGGTTCCCATATGTTGGCCAACATTAAGGTGCAACTCTAGCTTGGAGAACAATGCAAAAGCTTGGGTACATTCTGATACAGAACACTCGAAAAGTGATTTGCTCGCAGTTGGTTGTTTCTTTCGTTCTGGATTCAAATCTCTTTCTTTGACCAAGGAAAACTAATGCGCTACATCATTAGCCTCCGCTTGAAGCATAGTTGGACCCTGATGCCTCACATACAGCGCTTTATACAGAAAAAGCTTTCCTGGACCAATACCGTAAGCTTTCCATGCCTGAATTCCTGAACTTTCAAAATGGAAATTATGTAACACACAAAATTGTCAAGTTTGTTCACTTCATGACCTTCCCTTGACTTGTCAACAACGTTTACTGAGGCCAACATCCCACTTACAGGGTGTTGCTTCAAATGTTCTTTCATGTCTGATGCTGTCAAAATATCCTGACCCTCAGAACAGTGTTCGCGAATGGACACCTTTAGTGGGCAAAGAATCCTGTTGCATATATCCTTTCCACTTTGGGGCTCGGAAAAGTCATAGTTTTTAACAGTTATTCCAAATCTCTCCCAATATCTCTCACTGCAGCAACCAACAAGTTATTGTGATAACACCCTGCCTCATCATTGGTCGAATAAGTGCATGTATGTGGTGACTTGCAATTTCTTAGTTAACTCATCCCGTGAAACAATACTACTAACATGCCAGCTAAGTCCTTTTTTCCATACCAATCACTTTGCTTTTCACAGTAGCGCAACTGTAGAAACTTCATCGCGCAATCCATTATGACCAACCATGAACTGGAGTCAAGCTTTGCAAGGACACCTTGTTTAGCGTGTTCTTGATTTGTTGTCCGCATGAAATGTGCTTTCCACTGTTTCATAGCTTTTACAGCTTGCTCAAAATCATATACGATGTCTTCTTGTTGCTCCTTACTGTAAAACGCGAGGCCTTCATGTTTGAATAGCTTGCTCTATTTTGTTGATGCATGTAGAAATGTTATCACATTGGTTACAATGTGTTGTATGTTCATGTGTGCAAGTTTCCTTCAAGTCTGCAATTTTGGATCACTAAGCCTGAACTTCAAGCAATGATCAGGACAAGGGCTCTCAGATTCTTGGCAATGATTACGGTATTGTGTTTTTAAATAATGTTTGCCATCTAGGAGAGACTTCTTTATAGCTTTTGACGAATTATTATCTTGCTCTAGTTCCTGTAGATCATCCACAATAAAACATGTTTCTCAAAACCAGCTGAGCCATCCGCTGCTGTGTTGTCGACACCACACAGCGACTTTTGCTGGGAGGCTTCTCTTACTTGGAGGATCCGAAACAATGTCGCGCGACTCAGTGGCTCTACATTCTCTTCTTATAATAATAAATAATAATTTTAATAACAACACAAAACGCTCACTGAGTTTCCAGCGATATACATACCCTTTTCTAGATATATACCTAATAATAATAAACGAACGAACGAATGTATTCCTTCCACTCGTGAGCTCATTTACCATTGTCACATATGGTAAATGTCCAGGCCTTGTGACCCTGGATGGGCACTTAAAAGGAAAGAATACACACACACAAAGATTTATTCAACCATTAAAAGAACGATTGAACAACTGCGCATGAACGAACGTTCAAAGTGAATGCCCCTTCTTGGGTATGTATATTGCTGGAAACTCAGTGAGCGTTTTGTGTTGTTATTTTATTTCCTGAGTACGGGTCTTCGACCAATTTCATATTGTTAATAATTTTAATATTTATATAGCGCAAAATAACATTGATATATGATGCGCTTCACAAATTTCCTATAAATATAACAAATGTTTCTATGCTAAATATACTAAAATATTAAAAATGTAAACAAGAATAAGACAATCGTTCAATTTAAGAATTAGCATATGCTTCTCTAAACAAATGAGTTTTAAGCATAGACAGATTTTCTGAAACACTCTGAAACTAATCGCTGCTCGCTTGCATTTACTGGTTTATTGGAGCAATTGTAAAGTTTTGAAACTCTATTATCTTCCCTGAATAGAGTTTGCAGTGCCTTGTCATGCGAATAGCTTGCACGTAAGGAACGTTTGAAATTTTTACAAATGCTATATTTTTAGTTTTTAATTCTTTTAGGAAATAGACTTGCCTAGATTTAATCTTTACAGCCCAAATATTATTTTGATCAGAGTTGCATGAGTCGCCTGAAATAACCCTTGCCGCTCGGTTTTGAAGTCTAATAAAAATGCAGTTCAATTAAAGCTTGATAGTGATGGGTAAGAGTTCCAATTAAAACAAATGGTTTAATTTGGCGTAACATGCCAATGCCTTTTGAAACTTTTTTACTTATGTTCTCAATTTGCTTGTCCCAGCATAAATTTTCATCAATTATAATGCCCCAAGTTTTCTGTGAGTTTACTTGTTTAATTACTTTGCCATCAATGGACACAGTGATATCTTGCAAAAATCTACTCAATCTTTTGTGAGTTCCAATGACCATATACTCTGTTTTTTCTATGTTTAATGTTAATTTGTCTGAGACGAGCCATTGATGAATATTGCTCATTTCATGATTGAGTTTTTTTCCAAATTATTAAGACCATCTGAACCAACAGTTATATTTGTGTCATCAGCATACATTGCGGCATGTGAATTTTCCAAACAGTTTGGAAGATCATTGACATATATCAAAAATAAAAGAGGGCCAAGGTTTGACCCCTGTGGAACCCCGCAATTTAACTTCCGAGGGGTGATGTTGCTCTATTTACCTTACAGTATTGTTCCCTGTTAAACAAATATGATTTAAACCATTCTAGTGCCATGTCTTGTATCCCGTAATTAGATAAGTTTTTTATAAGGATAGCATCATCGACTGTTTTGAATGCTTTGCATAAATCAAGAAAAAGCACCTTGTTTATCCTACCAGCATCCATATTCAGTAGCCACGAATCAGTATTTTCTAAAAGAGCAGATGTGCTGGAATGAGCTTTGCGAAAACCAGACTGACATGAACTTAAAATCGTCTTTTCTTCCAGAAATAGATTGAGTTGCTCACAGACAAGTTTCTCAAATAATTTTGCAATAACTGAAAGAACAGAAATAGGCCGATAGTTACCCCACGCTTTCTTATTTCCAGACTTCTATATTGGCGAAATCCTTGCCGTTTTAAGATGGTCTGGGAAAATGCAATTATTTAGAGAAGTATTGAAAATAAGTGGCAAAAAGGGGGCCACTACGTCTTTTGAATCTCTTAAAACTTAACCGATTATTTGCATAGAAAATTTAAAAAACTTAGAACTAAAGTTAAAAATCTCTTGAAAGAGAGTCGTGAAAGATACTTCTCCAACCTCAGCCAGAGTTTGTATCAAAACCCGAAACGCTTTTGGAATCTGTTTAAAGTAAAATCCAAAACCAGTACTATCCCACAATCTGTATCATGGACAATAGGAAACGACACAAAAATCACCAACAACCTGACGACTATCGCTAATATGTTCAATAACTACTTCTTCAGTATTCACTCCACAAGAAGATCTTCAATCTAACGCTACTACGACAGATATAAATGACACTATTTCTTCTGGTTCACCTACGCAGTCAATAGATCAATTATCAGTGACGGAAAGTGATGTTCTGAGAACTCTAAAATCTCTTGACCCAGATAAAGCATTAGGACCAGATGAAATCCCTGGTAGAATTCTGAAAGTAACAGCCAATCAAATTGCTCCATCGCTCACTCGCCTGTTTAACAAATCTCTCCAAGTTGGGGTAGTACCCGATGAGTGGAAGCTTGCAAATGTCGTTCCAGTATTTAAAAAAGGAGAAAAGGATCGTGTAGAAAACTACAGACCTATTTCTCTTTTATGTATAGTATCGAAATTGTTGGAACGATGCATATTAAACCACCTTAGATTCTATCTACAGAACATAATAAATCACTGTCAGCATGGTTTTACTCCCAGGAAATCCTGCACTACTCAACTCATCCAAGTTATAGATACAATTGGTAAACTTCTTGATCAAAGAGAGCAGATAGATGTCGTTTATCTTGATATGTCCAAGGCATTCGATAAACTGAATCACACGAAGATGATCGATAAACTCTGCAGTTTTGGATTCAACTGTGGCTTGCTTTCTTGGTTCCAGTCCTATCTTTGCCATCGTCGACAAAAGGCTCTCACAACAAGATGAACAATTTATTTAACAATTGTACGTGCTCATCTTGGTTATGTGACGCAAGTCTGGGCGCCTCAAACTGTCGAGCAAATAAGAAAGATTGGACGGGTTCAGCGACGTTCAACTAAATATATTCTCCATCTGCCATTTAACTCCGACCTCTCATACAAAGACAGACTAATTCAATGTAACTTAATTCCATTAACTCATTAAGCAGCAAGCTGTTACCATGTTACCACCCCCTAAAGTGGCAAGCAATATGGCGAATTCATGATTGAATTCCAAACTATCGCCAAAATGGCAATATCTCAGAAACAATTGCATAAAAAAGTCTGATCTTTTCAACCAAACATGAGTGATACATGATTGACCAAATTTAGTTTAGATGACCTTGCATACCTATATATATCATTAGTTTTTTCAGTCAGTATTTTTATTTATAAAGCAGTGACACTTTGTTTTTCATGTCACTCATCACCTAAAGGGGAAATATCTCCATAAATTTATATAAAAACAAAAAAAATTCATTTACTAAATTAATACATATCTATATTACAACCAATTTTCATCTTTTGGGATATGAATTACGAAATTATCAAAAAATTTTAAAATTACTTCTTTGCTTTTTTAGGGCATCTTGTTTACAACATGAAATTTAGAACAGTAACTAAGTGTTCAAGTTCAACAAAGTGTGCAAGCCAAAACACAGTGTTTGTACATCTTTAAAGTTTTTGATTACTTCAAATATATTTAAAAAGACACATAGTGCTTAAATTTATTTATTTTAATATAAACCAAGGATGGGAAGGTGAGAAAATGGGAATTTTCTGAGGTGTTTTTAACACAGACATTTTGAAAGGCACTTTGCGGTGACAAAACTAAAAGCTATTCACTTTTGTACTCAAAGCACTGAAAAGCATCATAAAGAGAAAAACACTTTAAACATATGTCAGGTAAGACTTTTAGCTCAATATTCTCATGCTTCTATTGGGAAAGCAACAGTTTAAAAGCCAAAATTATTTTGCGCGCCAATGTAGACTGCTATAAAATGTCACACAGGCGGTTTCTTTTGAAGTCTGGCTCTGAAAAACAATCTCTTTTTTTGAGTTTGAAATAAGCCTTCATAAGCACTAATTGTATAGAAATATAATCTGTATGCTCAAATGAAAAAGATAACCTAATATTCGGGTATTCCACATAGCTATAAAAGGGTGAAATAAGAACTTTCATCTTTGGTTGTTTGTCAGACGTGAGAAACCACATTAGTGACATTTTGTCGCGCGTGCTATCTTATAAAATAAACACCTCAAAACCATAAACCTTTAGTTCAGAAAATAACAAAGTTTCCCATAGATATTATTAAAAATGTTCTAGTGAAGCGATTTCATGATAAATAAGTGAGCTATGGGCCCAAAAGAACTGCTAAACTATGTTTTTGTTAGGACTTCAATTTCTTGACTTCTCGCAAAGGAAGCCATTTCAGAGAGAAGCGGCATTTTGCAAGCAACCGTCGCGACCTATTTTTGATAACTTTTCCTTCTGTTTCAACATGTAGTTACTAAAAAATGAGGTTGCATCAACATTATTACCTGCCTTATCGATTTAAAGTTTTATGGGGATATAAAACCCAATAGAAAAAGCATTTTAAAAGCTTTAGAACTCAAGTGCGGACTTTTTGAAAATTCGCACATGGCAAGCAAGCGCACTAATTCAATACACTTATTTTAAACCACAATATGTCTGAAACGAGTTGTCGTTTTAAGACTAAATTGATGAAAATAGATATAACAGTGATTTTGGAATATCCTACTTACTTAGTGTAATTTAATACTCAAAGTATTCTTGCCAAAAAGGGCACGTACGCACACAGTAATTTAATCTGGTGTCGTTTGAAACATACTTTAGCTAAAATAACAACTTGAACAAGAAGACTAACAATGGGGTTACGAAAACAGTCGAAATTGTGCCCAAATTTGCATAAACAGTTCGTCTAAAAAGATAACTTTAAACTAGATTCAACCAACTTTAATGCGGTCGAATTTTGTGAGTGTTTGATCGCATATTTCTACTAGAAAATACCCTTAAAAATATCGTATCTGCTCACTTGAGTTCTGTGTTCATCTTTCTTGTGATTTCCGACTTCTATTTTTCATAAAGTTTGGAGAAATCCTCACCTGAAAATCTCGCCCATGGTTCACAGAAGAACTTACGTCAATACATTCGCTTTCCTTTCATGCCAAATTTTCGTTGTAGATGATTCAAAAACCTCTTCTTTTTTCGCTTTTAAAAGTTGCTGTAAAATCCTTCTTTGCAACAGTATCGCCATTGTTCATTATTTTTGAAAAACTAAGGTTTTAAACTTGAAAAAGTTTGCGAGTTTTTGGCCGATTTTCTTGCATGATACACCGTTGAAAAGCTCAAATTTCACATTTTCGTATCTGTTGCTAGGCAACCCGATAAACATGTGCTCAAATATCATGCCCGCAAGTTAGGGTGTCATGTCAAGGTGCATTCGGGCACATTGCCGCTTACCCCCTTGCCAATCTCAGGGCGCATACGGGCGCATTGCCGCTTAATGAGTTAACCTACTGGCATGAGTACTTAGTGATGAGTACTTAGTGTGACTCTTATCCATGTGAACAATACTTTCCTACCGAAATCAAAGAAATCTGAGAGATCAACAAGATTGTCGCGTAATGCGGTTGGTACTACCTTCAAAGAGCAACAATACAGAACATCAACGTACAGCAGATCCTACTTAATATGATCAACACGGACATGGAATGCACTACCAAAAGAAATGACCCAAAGCCGCAACAAATCTTCTCTAGCCACCTTCAAGAATATTCTGAAAGAATACTACTACTCTGCTCTTTCATTAACTTTCGACCCTGACGACACACGTACATGGAAGACAACCTGTGTCAAATGTAACTGTGTTCGAAGTTTGCTGGTTCCCCCTTCTTGTTGTTTTTGAACCTCGGGTGTGGTTTGAATACAGGCTAATTTGACCCAACAGCCTCACTTACATTTTTGTTGGAATTTGTAAGGTATATTTAACCTATCAAGCCACAATGTGCCCTTTGTTATTTTACTTCGTTAAACACCAAGTGATTTTACTGGTCAAGGGGAACGTGTTTGGTGTTAATGGGCAAACCACAAATATTGTTGGCAATTTCAAAATATGATGTATTACAACTGGACAATTCTGACAAAACTGCCAGGATAATTTTATTACAGTTTTCAGAACAATTATTATCATTAATGAATCTAAATTGGAAGCTTTTCGGCCAATGTACAGTAACTATAAATAAAATATAATTGATGAACTAATTATTTTAACCAAAGTTTTCTATTTGTAATCTTGGTCATTATCAGTGTATATATTATAATATGACAATGATCTGGACTTATCAAAAGCTTTGCTTAATTCAACAATCATGATGTTTTGCACAAAACATTTGCAGTGTATTGTCACATCGGGCAATTAAACAGCAATAAAGTGCCATGAGATTTGTAGCATTTATTTTGCAAGAATTCATGCGATATACTGGGGACTGAGATCTAGTTCAACGCGCCTCGTGCACGCCCCCATAAAGCCCTTTTTAGCCCCTCCCACAATTCATCTCGGGCTTTATAACTTCCTTGCTCGGATTTTTGAGTTTTTAAGCCGCATTTTGATACCGAATACTCGAGCATTTTTTTGAAGATAGTAGCTGCAGACAACGCTTAAAATCAGGAAAGATTTGAGTTCCCCTCGTGTACGCAAAATGTATGTGTATTATGTTTTCAAATAACTTCGTTTCTGCGTTGGTTTGTTTGATATTCAGTTTCTGCAATTGTTCAAACAAACAAACGCAGTTATATTTCATATTACTGTCTTCGTTACATGTTTTTTTTTTAGATTGAAGTTGGACCTTTTTTGCTCATACTAATTTGCCTTGTTACTTTTTCTTTATCAGTATGCCTCTTCGCCCGAGCAAAACATATGCTCGCTTTAATGTTGGGTCATATGTGAAGGAAATAAAACAACAACGAGATTGTTTGGCTACAACTAATCAGTCTATTGAGAATAAAAAGTGAGAAGTCAAAGCCGCTCAACACAAGTTAAAGCGTTTGGAATCAAAGGTATGCACAGAAATATGTCAGACAAATCCTGTAACTCAATTGTTTGTTTTCTGAGCTATTGAGAAGGTAATAAAAAACAATATTGGTAAAATAAAATACAAATATTGGTAAAATAAAAGTCATAACTGCAATTAATCTTGAACAATAGCCTAGTTTATCACCTATTCATTCTGTATGTGATGTATTTGTTTTAATGTACATAGGTGTATGAGGAGACTGCCTGTGAGGGGGGGGGGGGGTATATGCTACATATTTGTCTTGTCTCCATAGGCGTACAAGAGAGGGGGCTGCAGCCACTCGAATATTTTTTTGGTTGGTCAAATTGTACTTAAAAGCCGAGCAGATGATGCTTAAAAATCGGGCAATACTACTTAAAGCAATGCATATTAAAATCATTGAAAAAGCTAGGAAGATATATGCAAGATTGGGAAAATGTTTTATCCAATTTTTCGGTGAGGAGCTCATCCTTTTACCTAGATGAGGCAATTTTTTGTCCGCTCCAATTTTTTTTGTCATGTACGCCTATGTCTTATTGTATTTATTTTGTATTTACATAATAGTTGTCAGAAACAATTGCAAGAGTCGATGCTCAACAGGAAGGCTTTCAAATCAAAACGGCTGGGGAACCCAAAGGGACATTCCTTTCTGATCTGTCTATTTCTAGAAGACGCAAGTTGCCTACCTCCATCCAAATACCAGCAAGAACCAAGAAAAGACGTGTACAAGAAACGTTTCAGGCAGCTCTTGAAATAAATGGGGGCACAAAAGAAAATCCTGACCCTGCTTTGGTTGGAATGATTGAAATGCTGAGGTCAAAGTGTTCCAGAGATGCTGTGGTTTCTGCTGTTTGTGACAAAGAGGTACTTGCAATCATATCACCTCAACATTCCATGGCAGAAGTTGTGCAGAGTATGAAACAGGTAATGAAAACATGTTACGAAGTGTGACAGTATACTATGGAATGGGAGTCATGGGAGAAAGGAAGTACATGAAAGTTTGCCAATCTCTTTCGTTTAAAAATGTATCTTCCAAGTGGAAGAAAACCACTCAAATAAAAGTTGGGAACTGTTCAGTACCTGCCCTTGTTCCATACTACAAGCCTGCAAAGTTTTTGGAGGAAATAAACATTGGAACATTGCATTCAGTTGAGGATTTGTGTGAGAATTCAGATGATAAAATCAATGGGTTCTACCGCAATCTCCAAGAGTACCTTCCCCGGTTAGCTGAATTCTACCTGAAAGTTTACAAGGAAGATGACTTTGACTGGTTTGGAAGTCCTTTTACATTCAAAGTAGCAATAGGGGGAGATGGAGCCCCGTTTGGTAAGAATGACCAATCATGTGCCTGGCTGGTAAGTTTTTTAAACATAGGTAAGCGTTTCTTAAGCAGTGAGGATAATTTCTTGATTTTCGGTGCAAATTGTTCAGAGAACTGCACTGCTGTAGAAAAAGATGTTTCTAACATTCTAAGTGACATATCATATTTGGAAAAGAATATTTTCTCGATAAACGGAAAAAATGTCAAATTCGAGTTCTCCGAATTACCCAATGATATGAAAATGCTCTGTTTCTTGGCCGGAGAACTGAGCAACAGTGCGAAATATTTTTCGACTTTCGCTAAGGTTTCATATGATGATACGAGTAAAATCGATTTTACATTCGGGCATAGTGAAGATGATAAATGGAGACCATGGGCTTATGAGGAGTGGTTAAGTGTAGCCAAGCAAGTTGAAAATTTGGAAAGAAAACTTGTTAAATCAAAATTGGTTAAAAACACCAAACGAAACAAGGTTACTAATATAGAGTGACGTGATTAGTGGCGTGCGGAAGTCAAATTTCGCTCCGCAGTTACATAGAAAATTCAATATTTTTTCCTGGACTTGAAAAGCCGGAAAATTAGAAAGTGTTGATTAAAGTCTCGAAGAGCTGGTATTTGGTGAGAGTTTTCTTGGAAATTTATTCGAAAGACGATAATTCTTGCATTCTCAACATTTCTTTTTGGGAAAAGTTTAGATATTTGATTTTGCTGCGTGCGACCGTTTAATTGGCATTACGTGTGCAAACTTTGCACGTCAGCACGCGTGCGGATCAATTATCAAATTAAGAAGAAATTAATTGTAATTCCAAGTGCAATTGGAAAACCTCCTGCGAACTTAAATTGTGCAATTCTCGGCAATCAGAACTGACAACAAACTTTATACCCAACAAGTCCAGGCACAGATTACTTTGGACATGTCCTGTTGCAAATGTAAACGCTCAGGCCGTTGTAGAAACTGTTCCTGCGTGAAAAACGGTACTACTTGTCAGAACTGTGCTCCTCATCGATCTGGTCAATGTGATAATAGAGTACGCCAACCACAGCATGTGTCATCGGATCCTGGCAACTCCGCCTCCATAACCATAAGCAGTCAGCAAACAAATGTCAAACATGAAACCACAACCGACAGCGAAAGTGGAACAACTTCACAAGATGATACTTCTTCGCGGAATTTGCTAACTGTAACGAATTCATTCCCTGACCTACAACCACCAAACTTTACACGGAACTCTGGTAGTGGTGAGATATTTTGCCGGAAAATAAACACGGCCTACGAGGAAGTTGTCCATCGGAGACGAAACATTTTTCAAGTACCTTCAGGAAACGCTGGAAAATCATTTGTCTCTGAGCTTGCCCGTTTATATCAAGCTTACG